TCTATGTGATGTTGGTGATAAAGGTTTAATTTGAAAAATAATTAGATTTGCTTGAGGGCAAGCAAAGTACAAGTGTGGGGTATTTTGATATTGTCATATTTCTACATATTTTTAGGCAATATTTATTTACATTTTTATTAATAATTTGGTTATTTGCATAGAATAATGGTACTTATAAGCTTAAATTATTTTTTTCCAGCCAAATTGAAGCATTTTCGAAGAAAGGGACCAACAATGACAAAACATGGAACTTTGGAGACTTGGAGTACAAAAGTAGAAGAAACCCACAAATTCAGCTCAAATCACGACGTGAACGAGAAGGCCGTGACGTGGCATGAGTATTCTAGAAGATAAGTAATCGCGAAGTAAAAATCCTTGCCCGATACGAATTTCTCCTAAGTCACGACGTGAAGTGCAAAATCACGACGTGAAACTCAATTTTTGGGAAATTATATAAACCCTTGTCCATTACGACTTAAGGGACTTTTTACTGCCTTGGAGGGTTCCTGGAGACGAATTGGAGAAGAAGAAAAGTTCTGGAATTGGTTATTAGCATCCAAGGAGAGAAGAAGTTCATATTAGCTTAAGAATTTGGTACACTTTAATTATGTCTTTAGATATGAGATATTTGTGCTTGTTAGCTAGTATGTCCAGCTAAATCTAGCTGCTTCTGTTAGCTAGATGAAGCTGGAACTCATGGTTTTAATACATTAGATTTGACTTTACTTGTTGGTATTATGCTTGTGTTTGGTTGATTTACCTAGCATGTTTGATTCAATTTTTGATTGCTTAAATTTCTTGTTCTGTGTAGTTAGTGAATACAAATCTGCATGAATTTGAATACCTAATAATTCAGTGAACACTAGTTTATTAGAGCTAAGATCAAACCAATCTTAGATAAGCAATTGGATCATTGAATTAGAATGTGCTAGAGAACTCATATTATGACCATAATTATGTTTATCAAATCAATCTTACATGGCTCGAATCTTATTCAATAATTGATTATGTGTTAACTATTGTGTGACCATACATAGACTTACATGAATTAATCAATGTTAGTAGATTTAGAACTAAATTGCTAATACTATCTTAATTGGTACCAACAGTAATTGTCATGGCTAATTTATGACCCATTGAGTGAAAGTGGATTCGAACTAACAGAAGTGTTTGTTTATTGATTGAGTTCGCGTTAAAGAATTAAGTTAATCTAAACTTGCAAAATTAGATAAAACCCCTTCCTTTGTTAATAACAGGTTAATTTAGTAGTAGATAAATTAATTAGTCAAAACCATTCCCTGTGATCGACACCCGACTTACCCGACTATTCTATAATTTGACTAGGTACACTGCCTAGGTGCAATCTAACGAGGGGATAATGCAACAACCCGTTATTTCAAGTCCATGTAAATTAAATTGACTAAATAAAAGTCTAAGTTTCAATCATGTACAAATGAATAACATTATAACAAATAAGTACTCTAAATACCAAGAATAAATACTTTGTTATCATGTTTATTTATAAGATATGAACACTTATATTGAAACATCACATGGATAAGTTGATATAAGTCAAGATAAGTCAAGGGGGATTAAAGATTAAATCATGAAATGACTCATACATGGAGTTTACGATCCAAGTAACATCAAGAAGATGTGTTCACGGTTCAAGTTATAAAGCAAAAGGGTGTTCACGGTTGAAAGCCAAACCGTGAACCCCTTAAACATCCAAACCATGAACAACTTGTAATTTAGGAATCTTGGCCGTGAACTCTTCCCCATATGATCCTTTAACCGTGAACTCCATTCAAGAATCAAAAGCAAACCGTGAACTCTTTCCCATGTAGACTTTGGACTGTGAACATACTTTTAGAATGACTTTAAGGTCCAAAAACTCCAATTCCTATTCATCTAAACCGTGAACACTTCATTCTAGAAGTGTTTAACCGTAAACACTCATCAAATATCTTCATATTCTTATCCAAGTTTGATTCCCAATGTGATAACACCGTAAACACTTCATTCACCGCCTTAGGAGTATACTTCAAACTTAAGGCACAAATGAATTCATTTGTACAATCAACAAGCGTAAACACCCTCATTTCCTCTCAAATTGCAAACCTTATTTCCTATCATATACTCTCAAGTATCAAGCACATCCGGTTAAACTTCAAACTTCGTATCTGCTTCCATAATTCCTTCACTAATTGTAAGTAATCCCTTTGAACAAATCTTAGTTTCCTTGTTATATTACTAGTTAACTATTTTAGGGATACAATTATGTGGAAATTATAATCAGGATATGGTTAATCACACATATTCTATACCGGGAATATTGCAACCACATCGAAACCAAGCAGGAACTCATACACGAAGTGAGTTCATACCCCCGTATTTTCATAGTTTTTATAGTTTTAAGGGGGGGGGGGGGATACAAGTCTAACACAAGGATTTTGTGTTACCACCAAAATGTTTCAAAATATCTTATAAAATGAATTTCAATTATCTTCAAGTCAAATGGTTTCAAATTATGTTAAAATGACATCAAGTCACCAAAAGTATTTCAAAATGTTAAACTCTTTTATAAACTTATATTTTTCCCCAGAAATCATATATATATATATATATATATATATATATATATATATATATATAAGATTTAAAGGGCTTAGGACTGATAACTCACTTTGGTTCCTTTTCCTTGTTTGGATGTGGGCTTATAGTATCGGTTATTTGTCCGAATGTCGTTTAAATTTTAGTTATATATATTTGTATATGTATATAAATATAAAAGTTATTTCATTCAGTTTCAATACCCTTTGTAACATGTCGAGCAAGGGGTTGCATTCATGAACAGTTAGTATCAATTTAGAAAGTACGTATAAGTTATAATAGATATACTTTATGATTCATAGAACATTAATTCACGATCCAAGTATACTAGAGTACACCATTTTACAAGAACATGGGTTTGATTCAAAACTAATCAAGGGTATACATCTTTCAAATACATTTTAAGAATACTAATTCAGGAGCATACTATCAATCATTATTTCAGAATGATTAGGTTTTCACTTCTATTATACACGTAACGACTATATGCTTTTTATGAGTCATTAGATTCAGGTTGTTTATCCATTTAAACAACATAGTTAAAGTCCTGACATTATAACTAGAATCTCAAGTCGGGGATCGAAACAAGTGTGTATAGATCTATATTGGGATTGACAACCCCACACTCAGACTGCTAGCTACAGCCGGGCATATACGCCTACGAGTGGCAATTGTTATCAACAATTGTGACGCTTTCAAAGCGTTGTTTCAGGCCAACTAGTCTCAGTTTGGTTATAATAACTCATTAAAAAGATATTTACAATACGGTTAGTATATAATTAACTAAACATGAGTATATTTTCAAAGTACCAGTTTACTAAAATACAGTTTACAGTATTACATCTCACTTTACATTAACAGCTGGTGAAGCCAGGCACACTCACTTTTACAGGTTATACAAAAGAATACAAATACAGAACATTGGTTTACAAACAGAACAGTTTTATGTGATTAAAACTACTTTCCATATACATCAGAAAATATAGGATTTTCTGGAACATTTTACATATTCAATGAACAGAAAACATACTTTCAAACATAAATACTTATGCACTCACTCAACTTTATGTTGATACTTTCTTTTCAAATTACTTGTATTCTCAGGGAATCAGTAGACAGGTACTCCCCGAGCTTTTGAGAAGATGGAGCTGTTTTGAGTCATGTCTTCTATCTTTTGTTATAACTATTTTTTGGTGTCAATATACAATGATTGAACACATGTAAAAACTTATACTTATTAATGCAATGGTTGTTTGTACTTTGATGACAATAATGCATGTTTTGTGATACTACAAATGAAGTCATCCACCCCCAGACGTTTCCGGCATCTGGTTTGGGGGTGTGACACAATAACCTTTAGCGGCGACATTATCTAATTTTATCGCTAAAGGTCAGCGTCGTCGCTATAAAGGCCGTCGCTAAAGGGCTTATTTCTTGTTGTGTGAGGAAAATAATGTTGAGGTACTCAAAAATTTATTAGTTAGTATATAATTAAACTTTGCATTGTTTCTTTTTAACATTCAGTTAGTTGCTATTAAGGGTATCCATAATACATTGAACTCCATAAAGTTTAATAGATTGTCACATCATTATTCTACATTCCATACAACTCTATCAGAAAAAATTTCTAAATACATTAAACTCTATAAAGTTCAATAAAACATTCAAAAACTAATTTATAATATTTATTTCAGAATTAGAAAACATTCTTTTTCCTATTGAAGAATTAAATGATCATTGAACTCAAAATTCATTGAATGCTAATGGCATCACAGTAAAAGCATTCCATCCATTGAATCATAACTACACTTCATGCCACTCTATTATTGAACTTTCTATTGTGAATACTCACTTTAAAAAGACAAAAGACATTATTGTTTTTTATATTTTTCTAGAACTTTTGTATTGCTTTATATATTTTCTAAAACAATAATAAAAAAACAAAAACTATTGTCCAAAATTAGGTCTAACCTAGTGCAACCACATTTCGTCGTTGTAGGTGTCCAAAAAACATTTCCATAGTTAACTCTATAGCGACTACAATTCCTCACAATCGGCCACCTTCTATATTTGGAATTAAGACCTATAATGACGACTTGCATTCATTACTAAAGAATTATTAGTTTTTTAGTTTAAATGTTACTGCAAAGAAATGTCCTCGCAATTGGGTTATCTACAACGACGAGGACAATGTTGTTGCAATTGCTAGTAACAACTACAAACTTATTGCAACGAAGTCTAGCGGCATATGGCACATGACACAACACTTATGCATCCTTTCTTGGATTCCCATGTTTACATGAGGCTTCTCTTTGATCAAGAGGGTTAGTAAAACCCTGAAAGTTGTATACTTATATGTTTGTATGATGGAAGATGAGCATATGATATGATAGTAGCAAGTAGCTTAGAGCTTATGAATCACATATTTATTAATTAATCCTTATCACCATGACATTGACATGTTGAGAAGCTTCAAGGATAAAAATTCCTTATAGGAAAGAAATATCAATATGTTGTTACAAAAAAAACCATCACCGGTGCAAGTAACACATTTGTTCACCATAGGACATCCTTGTAAGCTTTTTTTCTTCGTCTGAGATCCAAACTTGTTCAATTTGTACATGAAAATTAAGATTAATGTTCATATTGCTGGTTCCAATCAAATCTCCAAAACAATATCTGCACCCATGACATAATATAATATAGAATGAGCTCCACCATTAAAATCTTATGGTAAGAACTCAAGAAGTATATAGGAAAAGCTTGCTTACATTCAGAATCTGTCTTAACCCATGTGCTGCTTCCTTCATAATCATCCTCTGTCTCAGAGATTTCATCATCCATGGATGTGTCTTGACTGACCAAGTACTTGTTTGGCAATGGCTTGGAAGCAGAACTTTGGGGATGTATCTTCTTGTTCAGTACAGCTCTCAATATCTGCAAGCAGCTAGGTCAGGTTAATGTTCCCAACACTTCGATCATTTTTTGTGCATTTAAAGGTGTAAAACAGAATTACAGATTGTTGGTCTATATATACCTTCTCCATTCTTGACTTGTCGATGGTTGGGTGCAAGGAGTCATTTATATGGTTAAACCTATTCCTGGATGTGAAGAATTTCTTAAGGAGAAAGGTCAGCGACTTCTTTCTGATGACATTTTTATTATCCACAAAAATGCCTTTCATCCCTCTAGAGGACATGCCAGAGATGTTACGTTGCACACATATGTCTCTATTTACAAGCTCCTCGCATGGAGCTTCATGAGCTTCTGATTCTTCAACTGATTCAGATTCTTCAACGTCCAAAAAAGAGATTAGTTCTTCTTGGATGAGTTCACCAACTTCTTCAGAACTTTCCCTCTCTAGATCTGCTTTCAAGTTACTAATTCCAAATGTCCCAATCGCCAGCAGTGATTGAGGCCAATCACTAAATTCTTCTTTCAAAGTAGCTTGCCCCATATGATCTATACCGAAAATTATCAAGAATTAGTTCAGAAAAACCATACATTGTTGCTATCTGTCTTTTTCATGCAATGTCATAATTATCTGCATGCATATACACTCACCAAAAACGAGCAAAAAAACTTAAATGAGGGAATGCTTACAACTAGCCACTACTGTATTTGGCTTTCTCGCAACTTGCTTGGCGTTCAACTTGCTTTGCATCCAACTGAATATCTGAAAAAGAAATGCATATAAGTTTTAATTGAATATAATAAGCACTACTATACCCAGAAAGTTACTACCCTAATTACCTTCATTGTTAGCGAGCTCTTTCAAGCTAAAAAAGGTGGTACTTCAGATTATAGGGAAGATTCAGTGAATCCAGTTGAACCACCACAACTAAAGCATGAAGCTTGAGATTGTTTATATATTGGTAGGATTAAGGACAAGTTTCACTGCACTCCAAGCTGGTTGGTTTCCACCGGTTCAAGTTCCCATACATCGCTTTTTGCCGCCCTTTTTTAATTTATCTTCTCACTTTATTTGAACCCACATTTTCAACTACTCTTTTAGTATGGTTCTGGTCACACATATAGCATACACAGTATCTTCGTCCAAGTGTAATAATATATATATATACAAGCACATATAAATTGACCAACATGATCTATTTCTTTATTCAATATCCCATTATAAGATTAAAGAAGAATACTTGATTTTATAAATAAAAAAGAACTAGGATCCGGAAACAAGATCATCAAGACCCGAAAATGATCATGTATATATCTTGACACACGCATTTTGATACAAAAATGGAAAAAGAAAAAAAAATATCTAATAGCAGAACTGACATGTACTAGTCGAGCCATGTGCCCTTAGAAAAGCTACATGCATCCATATGGATAATATGTCAAACACCAGCATGCCTTTGCTTTGGATTATTAATTATTGATGCAATAAACATTTGCCATTGGATAGGAAGAAAGGGAATGGGCTCACAAGATGATGTAACGCATGCGCTACGTACGACAGACAAGAAACTAGGATCCAAAAGAAAAACAATAACACCACCACTTCACAAGGAAAAAGTATGGGACTATGAGTTTATTATACAGGATATATGTACACTTTAGATTCCCATATGAAGATGTTCCTCGGCCTCATTAGTCGGCCAATTTTTTTTATGTATAAGAACAGCTGCAGAAAACCCCACCATTACTAATTATTTAAATGAAATATATATATCAAAAAATTTAATTGACTTTTACTTGCACGGACGTGACATTGTCATATATATGTGCTGATCAATGCCTCAAAGTCCAATAAATATCAATAGCGTTGCCGATAATCTTTCATATACCACAAGACAAGGAATACCAACTAAGAGGCACGTGAAGCTGTCCATACACACATGCATCTACAGGTTCTTCTCGACATTCCTATTTCTGCTATCACCCATGCAACTTGGTTGATAGATCGAGCTAATTTGCTATGCGTATCCAGCTGACAACATTGTGATTTATGTTCATCGTACAATGTCTGACCAACACCTGTGTCAATCAAATTTTATAACATATTTCACTGTACCCTTTGGTTCCAAAGAGAACGGGTACCCAAAACCCATGGATAACACCAATCCCATTTATCTAATCCTCTCTTTCACTCCAATTGGTCAAAATATTATTTGCATACATCTTTTACGGTTTCCAATCAATATTGTAGATTATCTATGTCTCCCAATCCCATAAAAACAGTGCACCAATGAGCACCCATCCCAAAGTTAATGCTAACTCTAAGTATTTCTTAATTAATCTTTTGATCCAATCACATCTCAACTAAACTAGTAGCCCAATCATAATCCGGCATATGTTAGTTGCAGCATTAATCTTTGAATTGGTCTTTTTAGTCTCCTGGGTTATGTTGAAACATTCCATCTAGAGCCTGTGGTCCATCAACTATTTCTCTTTTTAGAGTAAAAGTGCCATCAAGTTATTCATATACTAATCTAGCTTAGAGATGGGTCATAACAACAATGGTCCACAAGCAAGTCTAGTATCGTAAGATCATGCACGCTCATTTTGGAAACATTCTGTCCAATGCTTCACGTGCACATGATCCCATATCGATAAATAACTCTAGAGGCGTATATAGCATTTATCATCAAAAATGGAATATTTGATCATGGAACATCCATCTATAATAGAATCAGTAAGATTGAACTTTCTCACCAAGCAAATAATTAAGGAATATTAAAATCGTCATGCAAATTTAATCTCGCATCCTAAAAGTCTAAAACATGCATATGCCAAGGATTTCCCAGCCAAATTCCTCGAGATTTAGACCAAATGGCTTTGGAAATGAAAATACATGTCTCAAGTTGAATCAAGAACTCCAGTCAAAAATAAACGCTTGATCACGCAAACCCACGTCATAAAGCTTAGTAAGGGTAAACGCCAAAATAGCTGTAGAACAGTAGTAGAGAAGACACACCACCACATCCCAACTTCCACCCACAGGAAGTCAGGAACTAAACCATCTAGGAAAGGCCGCTGTTCAAAAAAATAAAATAAAAACTAGGAAGGGCCCCATTAATCATGTCGCCACGTGCATGCATGCATACATTTGTCTCCAAATAAAACTCAAGTATCATTTAGAAAATGGTTATTCAGTAATCACTAAAGTTTCAAAAGGGACTACTATTGACTATTTCTTAGGATCTATTACAAACTAGCAACTCGTTTTTCACTATCACAAAACAGATTTTAACACATGAGAAAATCTGACGCTACACTGTGTGTGAATTAGTTTAGCGACGGATTAGCAACAAGAAGTGGTCGTGTTATATGGTGGCTAATCCGACTAGCTTTACTTCTCATCAACTCTGAAACCAAAATTTAAATAAGCAGAAAATTAAGGATTCGAACAAATCTGCATAGGAAGTTTACAGAATGCTTCTGATGCTTCGAAGTAGTGAACGAATTTTTAACGACATATTGACGACCGTACAAATAGAGATGACCCATATTTTATGTTGTATAAGTGTTGGATTTGCAGTGGATATTAATTTATCTATATATTTCTATAATGCAGAAAAAAGTAATCATAGCAAACAACTCCAAAGTTTTGGTAACAACCACAACCAAGATTTCTAATGGTGTGGTGAGGGCAAAGTTTCCGAGCCAATAGGCCACAACGTATTTGAAGGCATGACTTCATAAATGCAAGAAATTGCATAAATATGACAACAAATAGTGGACCAATAATAAAACGACACATGTTAATTTATTGATTAATAGATAAATTAGATGATGCTTATAATTTGGGTTAATTTTCATGTTTAGTCCATAAATAAAAATTATAAATCCATTTATACAATACCTAACCCAAAATCGATAAACCCTAAACCAAAATAAAACAACCCCACTTCGACTATTCGCATCACCTGTAAAAAAATCACCCAAAGATATCCACCTTTGTCCGGTGACCAACAACAAACTCTCAAGTTATCTCTTCATCTTTCCTTCCGGTTTTATTTAAAAAGGGGAACTCCAATTTTGAATTTTAACTTCATTGACCAGCATTGCATTACTTCCGAATCATAAAACCTTTATAAGGTAAAAAATAATAATCCATGAATCATCAAATACAACATTGATTCCCAAATTTACTTCCATACACAGAAAATTTTGCATTTCTAACAATTTACAAAATTCATCAATATCATCGACAAACAATAAGTGGAATATCAGTCAAAGATTTTTCCAAATATCAACCAAAATCGTTATGTTCTTCATCAAAATCAAAATTTTCCAGAATTCGCCAAGAATAGATTCTAACACCATCAAAATTGACTAGAATACTCCAATATACAATCCATTTGATTTCCCTGCCAATCAAACCTAAAATATGCGATTTTATTATATGAGATCCAAAATTTGGAATATGACATTTTGTCTCGAGATGGAATTTACAGATGAAATTGAAGAACATAATACACAGTAATCAGGAAGAGTGTGTTTAATAACGTCCTTCAAAAACCCAAATAGAACCTTCAAAAACCTAAATTGAACCCCAAACAACCAAATTAAGATTTACAAGCCAAAGTAAAGATCAACTTCTGTAACATCCCAAAAATCACAACAAATTTAAACTTTTTCAAAAATCCATTCTACTAATAAAAATGTTTACAAAACTATTGTTTCCAAAAATATTATTTAAAATCAGAGTCTCCCACGATCAACAACGTAAAAACTCAGGAGGTATACAGTCACGCCTTCATCTTTCCACGATCATCAGAAGTATCTGAAACAACAACTCTAAAATGTAAGCCAAAGCTTAGTGAGTTCCCCCAAAGTACCACCACATACCACATAACAAACAATACCATGCATAACCAAGCCTTTAGCCTGATTTGACCGCCTCGTAGGGCCTACAGCCTATCTGGACCGCTCTCGAGCCTTCGATATGACTGGACCGCCTCGTAGGACCTACAGCCTATCTGGACCGCTCGCCGGGCCTAAGGCCTGACTGGACCGCCTCGTAAGGCCCACAGTCTATCCGGACCGCCCTGGGTATCTTGTCCTCCAGCACAAAGCAGGACCGCCTCAACCCAACCAACCACAACATGTTGACATACACATATCAAATAAACATGTAACGAGGCATCAGACAAACAGGCAGATTCACAAATCACTACCGCATGCTAACATCCTATATATCAGGATACAGATCTAACAAATCTCTACAACATAACAACATCCTATATACTATGGTATATATCTAACAGATCACTACAACATAACAACATCCTATATACCAGGATACAGATCTAAAAGATCACTATAGCATAAAAACATCCTATATACTAGGATGCAGATCTAACAGATCACTATAACTTAAAAACATCCTATATACCAGGATACATATCTAACAGATCACTACAACATAGCAACATCCGATATATCAGGATATCAATCCAAGGGGCCGTCCTTGGTGCCTTCGACCCTTAAGTATAGTGATGAAAACTCACCTCTCAATCTGAAAAATAGTTGATGGGGTTGAAACTCCGAATCTCAGCTCTGACCGACACCTATCCATCCAAATGACCATTTCTCAAACACAAATCCCAAAATACCTACAAGTCAAACTTGGTCAAAGACAAAGTCAAACTGGTCAAAATCAATAAGTCAAATGAGTCAACCCAGTTGAGTCAACTTAGCCGAGTCAACATAGATCGCATACCTGGGGCGTACTCTAAAGGTATGCGGGGCGTATCCAAACCTTGACCGCAGACGGGGGAGTTGGCCTCGTACACGCTGCGTACTCAAGGTACGCAGGGCGTACCCCCAGACTTCCCAAAGCTTCATTAAGAGCTTAATGCCTTAAGCTCTTACGTTCAACTTTCAGATCCAAGGCTAAATCATC